GGGCACTAATCCCATTCTGGGGGCCCCACCCTCATGACCTCATCTAAACCCTATCACCTCCCAAAGGCCCCCTTCCAAATACCATCCCACTGGTTTGGCCTTCAACATGAGAATTTGGGGGGACAGACATTCTGTTCACAGCAGGTGGTGAGTTGAGGGACCTGAGGAGGGGTCAGTTCTCACTCGAGCTCCATGACCTGCGCCCCTTTCACAGAGATGAGGAAACTCAGGCATCTTTCTAGGGTGCTCAGGAGTCCCAGGGTTGAGTCCAGAGTCAGCTTTCCAAAGTGGGGTTGGCTATTTTTACAGTCACCGTTCCGTCTTTGGGTTTGTAGGTTAGAAAGCCTGTGGCCTGCCTGCTGTGTGGCCTTGGGTGACGTGGCCCTCTCTGGGCCTCTCTTTGCCCTTCTGATTAGTGGGGAGGTTGCCCAGGTGACGTGGTGGTTCTTTTCCTGGGCTGACTCTGCATGTCTCTCTTAAATAACCCTGTAGCTTAGAATGCCCGGGCCCCTCTGGGTTTAGCAAGGGGGTGCCCTCCCGGGGCCGGGGCAGGGGTTTCATACACTGGGGAGTGGAGCTGGCCATAGGGTCTTCCTTTCCCTTCTCTAAACCATCCACATTTGCTCTGCTACCTGTCCCCCACCTGCCACCCTTAGTGCCCCTGGTGGGAGGCCAGGGCCCTGGGTTCAGGCCCCGAGCAGACACCCATTGCCCCTGCCGTCAGCCCGGTCCTGGGCCCTGAGCAAGCAGGTCCCTGACTCCGCACACTCAGAGAAGCCAGCAGGACGGGGAGGCATGGCTCGGTGGGGATGGGCAGGGCCAGCTGGGTGACATACAGTGGGCCCCAGTTGCTTGGCCCTGGGGGACAGTCATGCTTGCTGCTGCCAGGTGCCTGTGGGGTGTGCCAGGCTGGGGCTGGGGAAGGGTGACCCGTCTTCTTGCGGGGTGGCTGTAAGCTGCTCTAATCTCCCCTTTTCAGCCTCATCCTCTACATCTGCCCAGAGAATTGAGTGACTCTGCAGAGGTTACAGGCAGCAGCCCAGAGGCACTCACTGGGGGCTGCCTGGTTTCAGCATCTTTTCTGCACCCCGTGTGTGCTTCCTGAACCCCATTAGGAGGTTAGATCAGTGTCAGATGTCTCCTTGCTGAAAGGACAAATTACTCGTTTACTATGATGGGAGGATGAACAGTACCGTTCTGGGTGGGGTTCCTGAGGTCACGTCACCTCTGCCCGGCTTGGAGGCGGAGGAGAACCGGCGGCTGGGAGGTTGGGGTTCCTGAGGAAGGAAGACCTGGGTGGGGATGCAGCTCCCAGGATTGGTCCCCATGGGGGGGTGGGAGGCAGCCAAGGGGGGCTGGCAGCCCAGCCCGGGGCCCTCAGTGGCCTGGGATTCCTGTGCCCTCAGTGTTCATCCAAGGCCCCCTCGTGCCAGGCACTGGATGGGGCTCAGCAAGGGCTGGCTGGCTGAGTCCCCTGGAAGATTTCTGGGGAAAGAGAAGTCCTTGGGGATCCCAGGCACAGGTCCAGAGCCCAGTCAACACTGGATGTGTCTGCATGGATGACATACAAATAAACAAGTGGAGGCGACTTGCCGATACGGCGAGCAGGTCGGTGGAGAGGAACTGGTATGTCAGCGGGGCCTTCGCAGGAAGCAGTGCTCACTTTGAGCAGTCAGTTACTAGGCCTTTTATAAACCCTCCTGGAAAGCGTGGTAGGATGGAGGGAAGGCAGCATGGTAAGGTGTGGTACCCGGGACGAGCAACAGCAGAGAGCTGCCTCCGTGCCAGGAGACAGTCACTGGAAGCGTGGAGAGCAGCCCTGTGCTGTGGACCCGCCAGCCGATGTGGGCCACAGCCGAGGTCCTCACCTCCCTCCCTCCCTTCCTCTGGCCTCTTTCTGGGTTGCCCATTGGATGAGCGCAGCGGGACCGGAGGGCTGAGGGACACTTGGTGTGGCTCATGTAGGGCAGCCCCCGGTGGGAGGACAGGGTGGAGACAGGTGCGTCTGGGTGGTAACGTTGAAGGTGTCCTGCGTGGCCTTCTTTTTCCTGGAGGGCATTGCAAACTCTGCAAAGTGTCTCTCATACTAGTGGGAATAGTCCTGTGCCCCAGACCACTTGGCCCCTAGGAGATTTATTAACGTGGCAGACCGAGCGGTGGTTGTGTTTATCTCCCACACTGTCTCATGCATGTGTCTTGCTCAGGAATGCCATCACTGCAGTGGGCCAGGTGACATAAACTGGGGATGTCAAAGTGATCAAATTCATGCATTCTGCAGTATGACACATCGCAGATTTGACGTAACCCTGAGACAGGACATACAGCCACACCGCTGTCCAGGCCTTGTGAACAAAGACTGCTTCTGATCATCTTTACCAACAGGAATGGGTGAGGTTCAGTGCCTGGTGTGCAGTGCTGGACCCAGCAAATGCTGTGTTGGTTTCTGCCAGTAAATACATCACATCTGGAACCATTAGCTAATATTACCCCCTTATTACGTTTCCAACAATCTACTGTTCTCCAACATCCATCTGTCTTTTCTATCAGCTACACAGATGAGCTTTATGGAGATATAGTGGGATTTCCACCCCTGCATTTTGTATAAATATAAACTCACTTGTTTACCAAGATGTGCTTCATTCTTTCCTGAAGACCTAAGTCTCCATCTGGTTTCATTTCCCTCCAGGCAGAAGGACATCCTTGTAACGATGCTCTGTAAACCTGCTGTTAACAAGTTTTCCTTAATCTGAAAATGTATTTTGTCTTCATTCTTAAAGGATATTTTCTTTGGGTAGGCAATACTGGGTAAATAGTCTTTTTTTAAAGCCTTTAAAGATATGATGCCACTATTTTCTGGTCTTCATTATTTATGATTAGAGTAAGTTGAAGTCAAATCTTCATTCCTCCATATGTGACATTGTTTCTCTCTGGCTGCTTCCAAGATTTTCCGAAGAATTTCAGCAGTCTGACTCTGATAAGCAATTTTCTTTGTTTTTTTTTTTTTTTTTCCTGCTTGGGGTTCGCTGAGCTTCTTGAATCTGTAAATTTGTGTCTTTCACTTTTCATTTGTGGCTATTATTTCTTCAATTATTTTTTGGTCTCATTCTCTCTTTTCCTTCTGGGATGCCTTTTGATATTGTCCCACAGGTCTCTGAGGCTTTTAGAATTTATTTATTTTTGACCATTACTCCCCTCTGTTCTTCAGATTAGATAATTTCTATTGACATTTCATTGCTCTCCCCTTCAGCTTTCTATTTCCCCTTTCTATCCTTTCTGGCCCAACTCCAACTTGTCGTGTCATTTCTCCTCTTCTGTAAGGGCTGTAGGGTTTCTGAGGAGTTAGAACTCAGGCTGGCTCAGCGGGCTTGAGAGCCAGAGAGGGGGAAGAGAAAGCCTTCTGGAGGCAGACATGTGACAGCACCTCTCCAGTGAGAGTGGGGTCCCCAGGGGCAGGTAGGATGTGGCACAAATTCATGCCAAGGGAGACACAGGCAGACTGAACATAAGTGACGAAGCCCTGGTAGGGGACTGTAGTCTTGACAGAGTGAGCATCCTGGGGGAGACAGTGGGAGGGTGGGGGTCTTGGGGTTTGGTAGGTCCCTACTGAGTTCTGGGTCCTCGGCGAGGTGTTCTCCAATCTCAGCAGATCTACACAACACCCCCCACCCCGGGAGTCATTATCACCCCATGTAACAGATGGAAAAAACCCAGGTTGGGAGAGGTTGTCTGGGGCCCGGGACTGCAGCTGGTTAAATGACTATGAGCCCAGGAGCTCATCAGCATGTCATTCAGGGTAACATCAGGGGAACCGTCCTTGATGGGGCCACATTTGAGATGTTGGGAAGCCACATTCATTCTCCAAGTTCTCAGTCCAACTCCTGCCCAGGATCCAGGTTTTGTAGGGGGCAGTGTTAGCCCCAGAACTTGCACTGGAACCTACTGAGTCTTCCGTTCCTTCTGCCGTATTGTGCAGACCCTCTCCTGTTCTGACGTTGCTCTCCAGCTAGGTGACCCTAGGAAGTGACTTCACCTTTCCAGCACCACCGTCCTCATTTTGAATTGAGGAAATACAGGCTCAGCCTTGATAGCTGATGTAGGGGACCCACAACGTGCTGTGCCGGGAAGTTGCAGGAAGTTTCAGAAGCAGGTTGACATATGAGGTCTTTAAGGCCCTTTTCTCACAGGGTCACATTCACAGGGCCCCGCGGTTTTATTCCTTTCTTTCTCAAATGTTTGATGTGCTAGGTGTTACTCAAAGTGTGGGGGATTCAGCAGTGAATAAAACAGGTAAAAACATTTGCCCTCACGGTGGTAAAGCTCCGCTCTGCAGTTACTTCTCTTAATTCAAAACCTCTGCTCTTAAGCCTCTTACTTGGTGGCTAAAAAATTCTGGGTTCGAAACCAACAGAAGAAATCAAGTTACCCCGCCACTAAGTAATTAACTCAGTTTTCTTGTCAGTGGTATCAGACTCATTATGCCTATTTAATAGGGTCATTACTAGGGTCATTACAAGGTCAGGATGAGGTGTTGCATGACGAGGCGTCCGCGTGAAGCCCGGCGTGCAGGAGTCGGCGTTCTCTGATCTTTGCTCCTGACCGTGACCCCTGGCGGGCTTGTTTAATTCCATCCCGTGGACTTGTTACTTTCGCAGTTTTCTTACTCCTGAATATGCTGCTTTTCTTTTGAGAAACTTCGTGTTGCTCTAAGAACAATGGAACGATGCCCAAACCCCTCCTCTAAGTGTTTCGGATGAAATGCCCCGAGCCGTGGGCACGCTGCAGACTCCGCTCCGGCCGGAATGCCCCGACGTGCACCCAGCTCCAGCCTCCCGAGACGTGTCTCCCCTGACCCTCCCTCCTGGTCCCTTCCTCTCCCCGCCATGTCCGAAGCCCCATCCCGACTGACATGCCCAGTCCCCTCCCTGCTGGAACTTGCCCGGCCTGCGCCACCCCGAGCCTCAGGGGCTTCTCACTATCTTCCTTCTCCCCCCTGCCCTCAGGTTATGGGCACGCTGCCCCCGGCACCGACGCGGGCAAGGCCTTCTGCATGTTCTACGCGGTGCTGGGCATCCCGCTGACGCTGGTCATGTTCCAGAGCCTGGGAGAGCGGATGAACACCTTCGTGCGCTACCTCCTGAAGCGCATCAAGAAGTGCTGCGGCATGCGCAGCACGGAGGTGTCCATGGAGAACATGGTGACCGTGGGCTTCTTCTCCTGCATGGGGACGCTGTGCATCGGGGCGGCCGCCTTCTCCCAGTGCGAGGAGTGGAGCTTCTTCCACGCCTACTACTACTGCTTCATCACGCTGACCACCATCGGGTTCGGGGACTACGTGGCCCTGCAGACCAAGGGCGCCCTGCAGCGGAAGCCGCTCTACGTGGCCTTCAGCTTCATGTACATCCTGGTGGGCCTCACGGTCATCGGGGCCTTCCTCAACCTGGTGGTGCTCAGGTTCCTGACCATGAACAGCGAGGACGAGCGGCGGGACGCCGAGGAGAGGGCGTCCCTGGCCGGGGCCCGGGGCAGCACGGGCGTCCACGTCCCCGGGGAGGCGCGGCGGGGCCGGCCGCGGCTCGGGGCCGACGCGGCCGACCTCCAGTCCGTCTGCTCCTGCGCCTGCTACCGCCCGCGGGGCCACGCCGGCCGCCCGGGGGCGCCCCGGAACTCGCTCGGCCCCAAGCTGGCGCCCCAGGACCTCCCCCGCCCCGCGTACAGGATCGAGGAGATCTCCCCGAGCTCGCTGCGCAACAGCCTGTTCCCGTCGCCCATCAGCTCCGTGTCCCCGGGGCTGCACAGCCTCTCCGACAGCCGCGGGCTGATGAGGCGGCGCAGGTCCGTCTAGGGGGCGCGGGGGACACGCGGACGGACAGGCGCCGGCGTGTGCGGCGTTAAGTTCCACTGGCCCAACGCGACTTCTCTTCCTTATTTATTTCCGGTTAGCGTCCTTTATTATTATCGTTGTCATCGTCGTTATTTTCTCTCCTGCCTTCATTTCTCCCCCGCCTTCCCAGCGAGACAGAGCAGGCCCGGGGCGCGGGGAAGGCGCGCCCTCCTCCGACCCCCGCATCCGAGCATGAAGCATGGATCCCCCCCTCCTTCCCAGCGAAGGATGCCTTACATTTCCCCCCAGCCTGCCCCGGCTCCGGGCGGCTTTCCAGGACAGGTATGAGACGGAGCTGAGCGGATCCCCAACCCAGCTGCACCCCAGGCCGAGAGCCTCCAGCGCTGCCCACGGTGTGTCTCCGAGCTGACCCTCCCTCACCTCCCCAAGCAGCGGGTGGCTGTATGTGTGTACTGTGCGTTGCTTGAGTGTGTGTGAATGAACACACACACCGGTGTGCTTCTGTGTGTGCCATGTGACCAATGGGAAATATCAGGTATTCGTTTTTCTTTTCCATCACACACTTTTGTTAATAACCTGCTTTCGGCTGCTTCCAAACAAAACGGGAAAACAAAACCCACGAGGTGTTTGATTTACCATCTTGCCAAGTCGAGCATGTTCCATAAGCAGTCTTTATCCCAGGTGTGTCATGCCCATATTTTAAAAATGCTAGGTTCTAAATTATATTAACTTCTTTTTAGGGGGTGGGTGGGCAAGAAGACGTGGATCATTCTAGCTTGCCAGTTCAAAAATTTTTAAAAAGCATGCACTTTGTTAAACTGGTATGCATTATCAACACAAGAAAACAAAACTAGCAATGGAATAATCAAAAGCCAATGATAATATTAATTTATTAAAGACACTTTAATTTTATCATCTCCAGTTCCAACAATTTACCATGCAACTGGAAGTGTCAGAGGAAACTGGAAAATTGTTGGAACCGTGGAGTTCCTATTATTTTTATTATTTCCCTCTTATTTATGTGATGAAGGTGATGGTGATGGTGACCTGGACAACATCTACCTACATGAATAAGAATTCGGTTCAGATACTTGGATGAGGATGGGTATTAGGTTAATGTGGTTTCTTTTCCTAATAAAAAAATGACAGGGCATTCCTTGTTTAAAAAAAAAAATAATATATATATATATGGATTTCAAGAAATATTGTCTCTAATTGCATTTGATTTGTAAATAAGGGAAAGTTCATGTTGGTCTCAGGAAGTGTTCGGAGGCAAGGAGCTGTGTCTTGGCCTGCTGGGAACTTGTAGATCTCAGGGGACGATTTTTCTGAGTAGTGGGGAAATTCCCGCCCACTTTCAACAGGAGGCGGCCTGCTGACCCCCTGGGGAGCAGGTAGGCTATAGAATATGGCACATGGGGGGCCCTTTCAGTGACAGGAATGAAGGAAAGTCTGCCCTCTAGATTCACCGAGCGGACTTTCATTCCTCTTGTCACCATTCCTGCCTTTTCTGAAAATCACCCGCCCTCCCACTCCTTTTTGATAAACTGGAAGCTCAGGCTCTTCAACAGAAATGGGTTTTTAGTGCTACTGCTCAGAGAAGCAGTGGGAGCCCCAGGGGCTCAGAATAGAGGGTCTGCCCCTTAGAAAGAATAGATGCACAAGGATTCTAAAGGAGATGGCACCAAATGCCGCCAGTGCCTAATGTGGGCCATGAGGCTGAAACACAGCCCCTGAGACTCCTCTGAAGGGGCCAGCACTTTAATGCTGCATCTCATGTTGGAAATGGCCTTCATCCAGGACACAGGGTCTGTGACTCTCTTGGCCAAAGTGGACAATTATCAGTCTTCAAGGTTTGTATTGATTCCCTGGTTTTTAAGATTCAAAGAAAAATTTTTTAGTGCTGTAAAACTGTCCAGAGAATAGAAGCAATTACCCTTTTAAAATGTTTTTCTTTTGAAAGAGACTGTTGGCTATAGGGGGTAGTAGGTACAAAAAACCCAGGCATATTTCAGAGTACTTTTTGCCTTGGAGGAGGCTGCCAGGGGTAAGTTTAGGGTTTCTCAGAAAAACCTCGGTAAGCTTTGGCCTCAAATGGGGGCTGTGGTCACCTATGACTTATAAAGGAACCCGAGGCATTGAGAGGATGAGTGATTTGTTCAATGTTGACATGCCTGAGACAGAAGCATCTGAGAAGTGGATTCCCCCACGCCATGGCACCCTAACTCAGCCCTCGGGGGAGGGAGCCTGCCCCTGCTTCTCCACAGGGAAAGGCGCCAGGAACATGGCTGGACCCTTCGCTCAGGGCTGCTCCCTCCCTGCAATGCCTGTGTAATATGGTCATGAAGTGGCCTGCTTCACTTGAATGCCTTCAGAGGCAGGGGGCTCCTCTCTTCCCAGGGGAATTTAGGAAACATTCTGAGTTCTATATTTCCACAGTGGTGACTCTCTTTAAAGGGTCAAGGATGCAGGATGAAGTCTCTTCTGGTCATGTGATGACCACCAACCTAAGTATCCGAGCGATGCGGAGTCTGTCTTGGTTCTGGGTCCCTAGTTCTCCTGCCCTTGGCTGCTGGCCGGGCCCTGTGGACGGCAGTCACCCAGCCCCCCCACCGACTTTCTCCTTCTGTTGTCCTGGCTGCGTCGCCTTTGCGGTGGCCCCCTCCTCCAGAGGTGACGTGAAACATCCTTATGCTCTGAGCGTTCACGGGGCTTGCTTCCCTCATGCTGTCCATCTTTTTCTTGACAGTCTGACCCTTTGCCACCATGGTCTCTGGCCAAGGAGTCCTCCGGGCACACCCCTGAGGTGCTCTCGTGGGACCACCGAGTCAGGGTCTCTAGGGTGCTTCTCTGATAAAACGGGCCTGGCCCTCTCCACCCGGAGCTCAGCCACTGACAGACACCTGCTCACTCACACTTGGTGGCCTCAGAAGCCAGGAGGAAGCTTAGTCTGAGCTACCCACCTACATGCCCCCAGTTTCAGAGGAAGAAACTGGGGAAAGGGTGATCCGTAACTGAGGCCGCACAGCCAGCATCAGGTCTCCCCGCCTGTCTCTCCTTTTGCTGTGTCCTGGCTGCTCGTTACTTCCGCCCTCGGCAGGTCCTGACTTGTTGGACTTCCTGGCATCTCAGGCCCAGGTTCCTTCCTCCCTCCTGCACCTGGGGATTTCTTCCTTTCAGCCCAGCTTTCTCACACCGTCTCCCAGTCGGCCATGCTGTTCGTGGTTGGGGGGAAGGACGCATGCCAGCCCATCTGCGTACAGGTTTCAGCCTCATGAGAATGAGCTGAGAAGGGGCTGTGGTCCACCAGGACCGCAGGAGGCCGGCCGCCACCCACCAGCGAGGGCTCTAGAAACCAGCACACCTTGTAGGTGCTTAAAGAGAGTTCAGATTCCGGCTTGAGTGTTTGCCAGCTAAGACAGGAGGAAGGTGGGCAGTGCCCCTGTGTTCAGTTCTATCTAGAGATCACCTGACTGTAATCTTCATCACACCTGTCCTGGGTGGGAACCACTGGACTGGCAGGCTTCTTGATAAGGAGTAAATCAACGCACTGCATTTTGAAATATCTGGTCAGCCCTGGAGCTTGGACTGGACCTCTTCTTTCCGTCCATACCGCTCTGTCCTGCAACCCAGGCATCAGCCTTTCAGGCGCCATGGGCTGCCTGCTGCCCTCTCTGAAGCTCCTGTGTGCCCCTGCTGCGCATCGCTGACTGGGAGGAGGGTGCCAGCCCTCAGGCATGATCTCAGCAGACCATTTGCAGCCCAGGAGTCCCCACCGGGTCCCTAATTCTTCATGGAGGAGAAGCAAATGGACACAGACTGGAGCCTGGGGAGCTCTTCTTTGCAGATGCCCGTTAAAACCCCTTACCCTATCCAAGAAAAGAGGGGAGATGGCTTAATCTTGTTTTCTGCACATGGGGTCTTGATTGGGAGAATCTGGACCATAACCCAGAAACCCACAGATAAGCCTAGGTGGTCATTTTTTTTGCTGCATCCAGATCTGAGAGCCCTGGGGGTCCTTATTCCTGGTGATAATCGCTAGTGGCCGGAAGCTGGAGAGACAAATGGATTAGAGGCATTCCTTGTCTGTGTGCATTGATGTGGGGAGGGAGGTGGAGAGCAAAAAATGACCAAAGAAAGAAAATTACCGGGTGGATTATCACCCTGTTCTTCATGCAATCTTCTTCTTAAATAGTAAATCTGATCATGACACCTTTTCAGGCCGTCTGCAGAGGACTGAGGTCCGGGGCCTGTGCGGGGGTATTTCCGCTCTCGCATGATGTGGAATGCTCTAGTGAGCTGTGGCTTCGCTCACAAAGGGGTGGCCTGGGCCCTGCCACATGCAGACCTGCCGCCCGGGCGCCGTGGTCTATGTGCGGCCTCGGGAACACCCCAGACACGGAGGGGTCAGCAGCATAGGGACGGACCCACGCCTCCTGGCTTCACCAGACTCCTGGCTTCACCTCCCAGGGCCTCACTAGCCTCTGTGGCCCCCTCACCAACAGAATGGGACAGTTTGGGCGGATGCAGGAGCATTCAGCACGAAATGAATGTGACCCAGGAAGACATGTGGCCTGGGGGTCCTGGTCACTGGGCACATCTGAAGGTTGAACTTCCCAAACAACAGCAACAGAAAATTCATTTTGTTTGGCAGGGTGCTGGGAGCTGGAGAGATGCAGGGGAGCCCAGAGCAGCCCAGGAACACCGGTCTTCAGGCAAACTGGGGCCCCAAAGTTCTCAGACCCCCAGAAGCCCTGGGCAGGAATCATTTTATGTGGTTTTTTCTCAACCACACCTGGGTAGAGGCAGCTGTGTCAGGGGGGCAAAATCTACATGATTCCCCACCACCAGTTTCCTGTTTTGAAAATTCCAGACTTACAGAAAGTTGAGAGAACAGTACCAAGACCTTCCGCCCACCTGTCCCCCCACCCCTTCTTCAGCACTTTGCCGTATTTACTTAATCCCCCACATTCACACTCAGGTATTTGGAGGGGGCAGTGATGTCTGCAGCCTTTAGGTGGTTCAGCCAAAGAAAAGCTAATCTCCTAGAACAAGAGCATTTTCCTAGATAACAGTGCCATCATCACTCTTAAGAAATTTAGCATTCATACAATAATGTTATCTAGAACATAACCTGTGTTTTTATTCTCCCAGTTGTCCCAAAAATGTCCTCCAAAGCTTCTTTTGTGACTGAGAGACACTATAAGAGTTCAGCCTGGTTGCCCCAGGCTCCCCCAGTCTGGGACATCCTTCCTCTCCATTTTTGTCTTTCACGATGCTGCCATTTTGAAGAGTTCAGGCCAGTTGTCCTGTGCGACGCCATCCAACCTGCTGCTGTCCACTGGTTTTCTTGGTAAAGGAATTTTCGGCAAGAAAACAACCTTGGTGATGCTGTGTAGCCATGACCAACACATTTGATATGTCTGGCTCCCTGGAGACCCCTGTGATGATCTCTTTCATTATAGATAAACAAGTCATGTTAAATGTTGTTCACTGTTGGAGAAACTAATGGAAGCTTCAGGAGAGGTGTCTGTGGGTCCCCGGATGCTGGGTCTCATTGCCAAAGCTGAACAAGGCTTTGCTATTTCTGACATCTCCCATGGAGCTCTCTTCTGTGCTGAGCGGACATCAGCATGTTTCCCCTCAACCCCTGTGGGGCTGACCCAGCTATAAATGGCCATAAAGCACAGAGATATGCTTGCATTGTCATAAAGCTGGCTAGCAGGTGTAACCCAGGAGGGCTGTTGTAAGGGTCCTGTAAGCCACTTGGGGTACTTTTGCATCCAGTAGCTTCTCAATGAGTGGTAAAGATTGCCAAGCCCTTCCTAGCATTAATAATCATAAAAATGTAATTTGTTGTTATGGAAGTAGGCTTGGCCATCAGGGGCTGTAATTCATTATCACTGTCTTTGAAACATTATTTATGCTGGCAGGTTCCATTGTGGCACATTGAAGCGCATCCACGTGATGGACATGGTCACCCCACCACCGGGTATTCACGGCGCTCGCCTGGCAGGGTTGAGTGTACCAGGTCCAGTGAAGCCATGAGTGGTCCACAGCTGGGCATCCCCCTCAAAGCAGGTGTTTGGCATGTCATCAGACATCAGGAGCGTGCTGGGACAGCTCACCCTGCAGTGGGTGGGCTCTGTAGTGGGAGCGTCACCAGGAACCAGCACTGTTCCTCGTGGAGTACTTCTAGTGGAGGCTGAGCGGCATGGGGACGCGTGCAGTATGTGACAGGAACCTCCAGCCTTGGCTGTGCACCTGCCCGGCACTGCCTCAGGCACCCTGAGCCTCTTCTCGCCTCCCTGGAGCAGCAGAGGAGCTGCTCAGATCCTGGCCCCTCACAGGCCTGAGGCCGGCTTCTGCCACTCACAGGTGGGTGGTGGTCTGCTTCCGGAGCCTTGGTTCCCACCTTTAAGTTAGAGATTATAAATGAACCCTATTGCACAGAATGGCTGTGGGAACTGCCCATGGTGACATTCACTGGCACCCACACTGTGCTGAGCCCCGCGTGAGCGTGCTTGTACATGTTTGCATTCTCATAAAGGCCGGTCTGCATCTCTCACCAGGTTACTCCGCGGGTATTTCATTTGAAATCAAATTATGAAAAGGAACTGACTGAGTCTGGTGGGGGGACTCAGATGGTGCCTCATGGAGGAAGTGGCTCTTGGTGACCTTTGAGGAGAGCCTTGAAAGGGCCAGTGGGCACTGCTCTAGGCAGAGGCATGGTGTGGGCAAAGGCGCAGACTTGGTCCAGCCATCAGTGGGATCCTGCCGGAGCCACACCCAGCCGACGGGGCAGTATGATTGTCAAGGCTCTTCATGAGCTGGTCACACCCTAAGTCACTCAGGCCAGGCTTGTGCTCAAGAACCTTCCATGGCTCCCCAGTGCTCATGCAGTGCGTTTATTCAAAGTCTTTTGCTCTGACAACCACAGCCGGAGTCTTGGGCCTCCGTGGAGGAGCTGTCCACCCGAATGTCCTGGGCTGCCTCTCCCAACAAACTACAGATAGATCCTGGAGTCTCTCCAAACTTGAATTCTCAGAGTCCTGCTGTTCAGGCGGAGTTCACTGGTGTTGTTTTGTCCATCTCTGGACATTAGCTTTAATTTGCATGTGGGAATATTTCTGGATAAGATCTATTTGGTCTTTCACTTATGTCTCCTGGGGACTTGTCCTCATTCTGTCTCCTCTCACCTTACCGAAGACGGGCAAGCGACTAGCTGCAGGAAAATGCCGCCGGACTCTCAGCTCACTTGGTGTGAAGAATGTGCTGTTTCCTCAGTGACTCTGAGAACAACGGCTTTTGTGACCAGGGCCTCAGTGACCGTGGCTAAGGCCCCCGGAGTCTGAGATGCCCCTGTGGGCACCCGCTCTTGCTCTGCCTCTCTCTGCCCTGGAGCCGCTGCCTCCTGTGGGCCTGTGCTGAGGGAAGTGTCCTTTGAGCAACGGCATCAGCAGAAGAGCCAGAGGCGCATGCTGTCGTGGTGAGTGCGGGGGGTCAGGGGTGCAGGTCAGCTGTCTGCTCCTCAGGCCCGTCTTCCAGCCTGGGTGTCTGAGGGGTGCGCCAGTGCTTCCAGCCAGGGCCAAGGAGTGGCATCTCCACGCATGGAGCTCCCTCCGTGTGTTGCAATGTGGACTTCGATTTTGGGATGAGGCCTCTGGGTGCTGGAGGCTGAGGGGGCCAGTGGCTGGGTGGAAAGAAATCTAGCTTAGATGTGGGGTGAACCAGGACTCAAGCCCTGCCCTTTGCTGTGTGACCCGGAGCAAGTCCCTTCACTTCTCTGCATCTGAGTTTCTTCTTTCCAGAATAAAGGGTTTGGCCAAAGTCGCAGGTTCGCAAGGTCCCCTTCACTCCCCTCCTCCCACATATGCCCGGTTCTCTCTGCCCTCGGCCCGCAGTCTGGGGAAGACTGGCTCGGCTGCTGTCAACCAGCACATGGAAGTATTTACCCAGATACCTTCTGTGGCAGGTGACTCTCCCAGTTAGACTCCTGGTTAATTAAGGATCCATAATTAACCAGTAGCTCCGTGTGGTGAATCTCTGCTTAGTCCCCTTGATAGGCACCCTTCACCCTGACCGCAGGAAGTGCCCTGTTCTAAGGAGGGAAGCCTGAGCCCCTCGGAGTCATGGACTGCCCACAGCTCCAGCAGTCACACTCACTCGTGAGAAGAGGGTCTTGGCTCCCCAGGATCTGCCTGTCTGCCTTCCACTTGAACCTGAACCCCCTTTCTGTGAGCCGTCTACTGCCACTCCTCCCCGCCGCATCCTCTGCTTGTCCTATTTCAGGTGTCTCTCTGCTTCCGGGAGAGATCTGTTCTCTACCAACAGGAGCCACTGGTCCTGCAGGGATCTTGTGCCAGGCCCGTCCGACTCAGGCCCACAGTCTGCTCTGCAGGGCCAGGCCACCATGGCACCCGCAGACGTGCACATGTGCAACGCTGTGCACAGATGTCACTTCCCTGTGTCCACCCACAGTTCACGCTGGGTGAGGGCAGGCCAGAGCACGCCACCTGGCAGGTGGGGCCACGAGGCTCAGAGATATTGTGGCCATGGGACCCCAGCATCCTGATGGCATGTTTCTGGCCCTTTCTCCCCAGGCTCTGTGCTCAGGTTCATGGGGAGCACCGGGTCCCTCTGCCTGCCTTCAGGGAAGGACCCAGGGGACTGCCTTGGGAGAAGGCAGTCACCTCCTGGGGAATCCAGGGGGTCATCATGCCAGGGGAGGGAGTGGCTCCTCTGGGCAGGCATTGGAGGGGAGAATGTTTCAGGCCTGCAGGGAGAGTATTTGCTGGGTCTGCCAGTTCCTTCACCTGGCTCAGAAGCCCAGCTCTTTGCAGACCCCTAGGAATAGAGAGGAGGGCCACGCTCAGACCGGGCCTCTGGCGGCTGTTAGTAGCCTCACAGACCTTGGTCCTACCGCGTCTCGCCCTCGTAGCAATGGGCCTCCGAACGCAGACCCAGACAGTGGGGTGAGTTCTCCGGCTGCAGGCTGAGCTAGCAGGGTGCAGCTGGAGGCAGAACGCGGCTGCAGGGTGTAGGCCCCCCAGGAAGACCACAGGGTCCCTCGTGTGGGACAAAGGGCCTGGCGGGGGGTGAGAGGGCTTCCACGGAGCCCCTCCAGTAGCATACAGTCACTGGGCAGGTCACCTCCTGGGAGGCAGTGATGAGAATGGCTCAGAGGAGGGCCGAGATGCTCAGACACGACGTCCCAGTGAACACGCCCCGTCTCCATGCCTTTATTTTCCCATCCTCGAAGGAAGGATTTGGAAGGGTGGGATTGTTCCCGAAGGATGGGAAGTGGGAACCTGTCAAGTAGGGGCTGCCTGGGTTCTGTCTGAAACTGTGGGACACAGGTTGGCAGGGACTTGGGGGTGCTGGGGAAGCTGTCCTGTCACCTGTGTGTCCTTGACTGGTGGTCGTCGGTTCCAACGGAGGTAGAGTCAGGGCTGGAGAGAGGAGTGGAGGGCGCGTTCAAGGGGGCGGTGACTTTTTATTGGGGCAGTTTTATTCTTCCTTTCTTTGCATCACTCTCGGCTCCTAACTCTTACCGGGTTACTCCAGGGGCATTTCACTTGAAATCAAATTATGAAAAGGAAGTGACTGAGTCTGGTGGGGGGACTCAGGTGGCGCCTCATGGAGGAAGTGGCTCTTGGTGACCTTTGAGGAGAGCCTCGAAAGGGCCAGTGGGTGCTCTCATCTCCCGGCGAGAGATGCAGACTGGCCTCTGTGGGCATGCGAACATGTGCCAGCCCACCATCCCTCTTGGCGCCCAACTCTGGCCGCTCCAGAGGTTCCAGTCCAGGTTTTTGGGGACCTCTAGCACCCAAAGAGCAGCTCTGGGTTTGGAGGAGCGAGGTCTTGTGAAGTTCTGCCATAAGCCTTGACCACTAAAAACATAGAGCCAAGCTTCGCCTCTGCAGCAACTCGGTGGCCGGTGGTGGAGACCTCGGGGCTTTGTGAGCGCCCGGCCCGGCTTCCTTCCTCCTTGTGATGTGCGTGCGACCTTGGGCAAGTCACTTCTTGCCCCCTTCTACACAGGATGAAACAGCCAGGTGAGAAGCAGGTGTCTTCCAGACAGGTGCAGGTGGATGGAAGGAATTATGTCATTATGTATGAGGTTCTCAGTGACATTTTGGTGGGGGCAGGTTTGGAGGCATGGCAGAGCTAAGTCCTCCCAACAGAGGGTTCCTAAGCTGAGCCAGCTCCTCTCTCCTGGGCATGTACATTGTTCAGGTGCAGCTGTCCTGTAGACCTGCTCACACTGAAGAATCACGTCTACGCAGACCCTCAGACCCTTTCCTTGTTGAGTTCTGCTGGTGGCCACTGCTCACAGTTCCTAGTGGATTCGATGCTTGCCCATGGTGTGGGTGGGGTGCTTTCCAGCCCCCCAGAGCCCACCAGTCCCCCGGGGAACCCCATGGAAAGGCTTACTTACCCTTCCTTAGCCTGAGAGGATGAAGCAGGTACTAGATGTGAGCTGCAGCAATGGCGGGCCTGGTAGCCCCACAAGAGCCCCCTCTGTGCAGTACTGCAGGCTGACCGATCCATTTATCCGGTGATTATTTACAGAGCATGCTCAGTGAGGACAGTCAAGGTGCCTGCTTGGCCTCACAGGCCAAAGTTCCCATGGCTCCCTGCTTCCAAGATGCACGAGGCCTAGAAGCAGAGTCAGATGAGCAGGCATTGGGATCAGAACGTGCCTTCACAATCGCTGCGTTTCCTCGAGCTGAATTTTAGAAGTTGTGTAGAAAAGTAAAAATCCAATGAAAGGAAAAACACGATTAGTGGGAACCCAGTGTAGCAGAACCCACAATTAACAAGATTTCTCTATAATTGGATGGCTCCTCAGAGAAGAGCAAACTCCTGAAAAAGGCTAATTATATATTTGTTTATTCAGCCCACAAATAGCATTTTGACCGTTGCTTTGGGCTGGAAGGGACCTCCAGAGGTCATCTCAGCCTACCCTCTGCTTTATCAGAGATCTGCATGGAATAGACAATGCATCGGAGTTAGGTGAAACTGTTGGCACTATTGAGCACATTTAGACAGGGAAACAGACTAACCCCAAATGGAAGATTTGAAGCTATCCTTTATAAGTGTTGATCAGAGAGTTTGCAATTAAATAAACAGGAGACACAGGCAAAGACATTGAAGACAAGCAGTAGCAGATTTTAAACCACTGGCTTGGTTTACAAGGAGGAAGAATTTCTGATGTAGTCCCAGCAGGCCAAGCAATCGCTGATGCTCCCGCTAATAAGTCTATGATTTGTAACTTCAGCCAATTGTGTATCCTTGTACCTCAAAACATTAAAAAGAAAAAAGTGTCATTTGTGACCCCAGACATAGAAGAAGTTAAGCTTGAGTTAATTCCAAACTCACACTCACTGAAATGACTGGCAAATGACAGGGGTTTCATTCCGGGGGTGGGGGACACAGAGATGGGGATCCTTGTGTATTCATTTGGGGTGCGTGTGTGTGCGCTGACTGGGTATCGTTGGGTCTCTGGATTTTTGGGGGGCATTGCTGGGCCTTTTCATGACTGCCTGGGTTTGGTTCTGGTGATCCTGCTGTGGGAAGGACCGGTGCCCGGGGAGGGTGATGGAAATCGGGACATTTCCGCCAGAAGCGGGGGCAGCTGGGCCGCATTCTGGGAGGACGGAATGGCTTGTCCCGAACCCCTCCCAGGGACCTGCCTTCCCATGTTGGTGGGCATTTGGGGTTTGGACAACAGGTTTTCCAGCAGTCAAGGCATCAGCCCTTGGGTGGGAAGCTGCACCTGATTGGGCAAAACCAGTGATCCCAACTGGACCACAGGGAACCAAATTCAAAGAACCCTACTGTTCCTGTCCGCTCTCCTTTCGTTTCTGCCCTGGCCTTCTCCGCCTGTGGAGAGGCCGTCTTCACAAATGGCCTTAGAATGCCGTTCTGAAGTTTAACAGAATGAGACAACCATCAAATGAGTATCAAAAGTATTTATTATTGAAGCTTAACAGAAGAAAGAAAAAACTGTATCACCAATGTTTACAAGTCCAAGCAGACATCCAGCCCATGTAAAATATGTAATTTATGCAAGGATTGCATCTTTCTTTTGTAACGAATGCACTCAGCAGCCCTGTATATATTTTACAATGTCTTTACAGAAAAAGAAAGAATCATTTACTGTAGTGTTGTAAAATAATGCACTTTTCTAATTTTTTCATTAAAATCTCTATGGCACGTTTGCAGATGTGTCTTGGTCTTTCTTCACCAAGAAAGGTGGCCTGGCCTGGCCTCCCCTGCGCTGAGCCCCCTTCTGAAGGCTTTTTAAAGCAAGCCAGACGGTGGCTGGCTGTGCATGACTCTTGGGCTTGGTCCTCCTGGTTGCGGGCAGGCTGCCTGGGAAGTCTTTCCCCTAAAACCCTAGCCAAGACCTCAGCTGAGCTGAGACCTGACCGGCTGGCTTTTGTTTTACTTCTCTGGCTGGGGAATCTTTGCTCAGAGCATGGCAACCCCTTTTCCCCTTTCCCAGTCTGTCTGTGTGGGAGGAAGACAGACAGGCAGAGAAAGGTGCCCAGGATTCATCTCTGCCACAGTCTGTTCCCAGCACCCCACAGTGGCACCCACGTGTCAGGGCTTCCTGACCTCCCGTGCCCCAGAACACAGGCACCAGGGAATCTGCGAGGGTGTGGCAGGGGGCACCGTGGTCGGCCCTCAGGGTTCTCCTCTGTAAAAGGTGATGGAGCTGGGGTTTGAAGATTGCCAGTCAGGTGCCAGACCCCTGCTTCTCGCAAGAGTATCAAGGGCCCAAAGCAATTTCTTCACTGCTGTACTCAGCGCCTACGACCGTGTTTGGCTACAATGTCCCTTAAGTATTTGTTGAATGCCTAACTGATTGAATAAGGTCAGAACCAAGCCCCATCCATGCCCTGCAGGGCCTGGTGAGGCTCCTGGCATCCTTCCATTCTTCCTCCCGGTCCCCTCCGCACCCTCCACTTCCTCCCAGCTTGTTCCAGGCCCCGAAGGACGGGTCTGTGGCCTGGAGGTGGCTTGGAGAGGCTTAGAGAGGCATCCAGGCAGAGGCTTGGGCCCGGAGCCCACCTGGAGGTGGTGTGAAGACTGCGCTGGTTCACAGAGCAGCAACCTTGGAAAGGGACAGTCAAGGGACTTTGTAGTGGGGGTCAAGTGGCTCCAGTGTATGACCCAAGGCAGAGTTCTCTGGAAGGCAATTTCTAACCTCATGTGGAGGTTAAGTGCTTCCTAAGAACTCTGTGCTTTCCAGAATCTTCTAGATGGGGGAAGGGGGTCTGGTGGACAGGGCCCCTTTCCTGTCCTTTCCATCATTATTTTGGCTGAACCCCAGCATCTCAGAGAGGTCCTCAGGCAATGGCAACAGGAAGGTTTCTGAATCCTGGCTCAAAAAGGGGGGATTCGGGACTTCCTTTCTCCCAGTTTAGAGCTCTGAATGCGATGAGAGCACCTGGGGTTCTCACTCCCCCTGCAAGGGGCCCCCTGGTCCCACCTGCTTGTCGTAAGCAGGGCACACGATGTTGGGTGTTACGCAGCAGCTCAGCTGGACCCCAGGTGTGGCTCCCACCTGCCCAGGTGCAGGGCTGTGACTTCAGAGCCTATTCAGGGAACCCTCTTCATCAGCACCGCCGCCGTCACATCTCCAGCATCACTGTGCACCTGTTAATAGTAACGATCATTTCTAATGGTGTTAATTAAATATAATTAAGTTTCTGGATGTTTTTCTGTTTGTCACTGTGTCACACGGTTAGATTTTCATCAAGTTTGCGATGGCCTGCCATTGAATATAGGTATACATAACATTCCTGTTGGGGGGATCCCTGAACAGGACCCCAAGGGGGAGAGCAGTTGTACTCCAGGGCAGCTGGAGCCCAGGTGACAAACTGGCCCTGTGACTCCTGACTGGGGCCACACACCACAGTGTAAAGAAAAAGATGTTTTGAGGTTTCATTCTCCCTTGCCACAAATGAAAAATCCTATAATCAAAAGCCACAGGGCAGGTGTTTCAGATTGCAGGGGCCGGGCTTCCACCGAGCTGCTTCTGTGGGCACCGCTGTGTCCTTTTGAAGAATGAATAGTAAAAGGAGCTTCATTATTTTATGGTGAATACTTCTTGCAAGCTGCCTGGAAGAGTCAGTTCTATCATTTACAGTCTGCACGTCCTTGGGCACTTCCTCCTGTGCGAGTCCAAGACACCAGTAAGTACAGCACAGCAGCTCCGGTACCAGGCGTCATCAGGCGGTCACTACGTGCATGCCAGGCCCTCTGTGCTGCGTGCTTCCTTGGAGGGGAGACGACAGATACTTCCCTACTTGTCTCCATCCCTTATTTAGTATTTGTTACCACTTTTTTTTAAGAAAGTAGACTTTATTGTCAGAGTTCTTTGAGGTTCAAGGCAAAATTGAAGGTTTAGAGGTTCCCATACACCCCTTGTTCCCTGCCATCACCTCCTCAGTTATCAACACCCCCACCACAATGGTGCATTTGCTACAGTCGATGAACCTACGTGGAGACATGACATCACCCAGAGCCCACAATTTACATCAGAGGGCATGCTTGGTGGTGCATGTTCTGCGGGTTTGGACAAAAGCATGATGCCCTGTAGCCGTCATTACAGTATCATAAGGCGCGGTTTCACTGCCCTGAAATCCCCTGTGCACCACCTGCATCTGCTAAGCGCTCTTCCTGTAGCAACTCACAGCATTTCCCACAGGGTGTCCCAAGGAGTGCCAGTCCCATAAGTCGCTCCCCTCAGTCCCCCAGAAAGCGGTGTGCACTGCTGTATTCCTGCTCCTGTCCTGGAGATTCACACCCGCCACACCACACTTCAGAGCCTTTGCTGTCCAGAAGGAACTTGCGAGTTTTGTCAACCCAGCCACCCCCTGGCACACTTGACAACAGAAGGCCTCTCCCAGGCACACTGTTCACAGGCGTCACAGCTCCGTCCCCTGAAGCTCCACAGTCGGCGCGCTGTGCATGGACTCGTGCCAGCTCCCACCCACCTGCATGTGGCAGGGTGGCACTTCCTGGGCCCCTGTGTGGATGGAATCATATGACTAGTTCTGGCCAATGAGTGATGAGGGTCCCTTCCCACCTGGAGCGTTCACTGTTGGCTTGAGACCTTCTGGAACTTTCCTTCTGTCATGCTGACAGGTTTCAAGATAGTGGTTATGACTCTGGATCCTGAAGTAAGGAGGTGGGGCATAGGGTGCCAGCAAGCCCATGGTGGGCACACAAAGTGAAGGGGAAGGATGCCTGTATGCTACTGAGATGTTGGGTTGTGACTGTCCACCCCCTGTATTGCGGCTGAGCCCCATCCCTCAGGACACCAGCTCCTTGGGCATGTGGTGCCTGGCACTTGCTTGGTTCCTAATAAAACTCCCTTAAATGAATGCCCAGCCCACACATCTTCCTGGAGGCAGCTCTCTGCAGTGAAATCCCACATCGAGTCTTAACTTACCTGGGTTAAGCCTTGTCCACCCACTTTAGGGACTCTTTTCTTACATAACCTCTTTGGTATGCCCAGCACGTCCCCACATATGGGGGATGCCCCTTCAGGGGATGGTGACGCCTGTGCAAAGCAGGAAGTTGAGAAGCCACTTCCCTTCCTGACACCTCGACATCCACCAACCAGCAGCGCCAGAAGGGGAAGCAGGAAGTCCGGGCTATGGCTAACAGTCAGATCTTGGTTTTCATTATGTGTCTAGAGCTGGTGGCAGCTGGGCACTAGCCCAGCCTTGGCTCTGCTTCCTGCCAAGCCCTCACGCGAGCCTGAGTCATCCATCTGAGGAGGGAAGGCAAGACTTGGGATGGAGCATGAGCTGTGGGTCATGGGCAAAACCTTTCCAAGTCCCTGCTTCTAAATTAAAAGATATACTGACCAGATATTGAATTGCCTGAGAAGCTCAAGTTCACTGTCTTTGCTGTGCCTATCGATTCAGCCCCAGGCAGACCAAGAATCAGGTTGATGAATCATGTTGAGAACACGCTGGTAAAAACAGCTGGAGAGCCTGGGCTCGGCCGCCTGGCCCACCTGCAGGGGAGACGGGAGCTCCTGGGGGCGGGGCCGGCCCCCTGGCTCAGCGCCCGCAGGCTTGGACCTGTGGCTGCCCGGCCTCACCGTGCAGGTCTCTCAGGTGTGAGACGGGGCTCTTGTGAGGGATTGTTGTTATTCACATCTCCCCATGAGTCAGGGTATCCACTGGGATAATATATGCAACGCTCATAATACATGCAAGCTTTGTGCCGGGCAACGTTGTGAGCCGCTGCTTTTGTGTTACTGTCGTCATCTCAGCTGCGTGCTTCCCAAGCAGGGTCCCTTGGCTGTGTGTCTGCTATGCGCTGCCTGTCCACTGCGAGGTGGCTCATCCTGTGCTCATTTGCCTGGTCCCCTGTTGCCCCTGCTGCTGGTAATAGTCCAGGCCCGAGCCAGTTTACCAACCCAGAACCCCTGGACGAAAGGGAGGCCAGGTCCCCTTGAGGGGGACCTACATTGCCAAAAATTCACACTATTAACCTTTCCCCCAGCCTTCTCTGATGGGACCTATGGCCGTTTGATGACTGTGCACCATGGAATGACACAGGGCCACTGCGCACTGTGGGAGGGTAAGTAATCAGACATTTTGGGGATTCCTGAGTTGACACTGACTCCAGAAGAACCGAATGTCACCGAGGCCTACCTGTCAGGGGAGGGGCTTATGGAGGTCGGGTGGTCAATGGGGTTTAACTCACACCCAGCTCACAGCGGGGCCAGTGGGTGCCCCAAGCCATCCTGCGTTGCTTCTCAATTCTAGAATGCATAATTGGGATAGACACGCTTAGCAAAACTGGCGGACTCCCACACTGAAACAGACCCGGTCCCCAGCCCCAGGCATGACCTGCCATCAGGCTGGGCTAATCAGAGCACTGTGTCGCCTGGGCGGCTGCTCCAGGGATGAATGTACATGGCCTGAATCAGCCAGTCAGAGCCCTCGGCCCAGCAGGACCTGGTGGGGAAGAGCTGCATGTGCCGCCAGCTGTGCTGTGGGGCTCTTGGGGCAGACAGACCGAGAGGACAAAGCCAGCATTCAGATACACCTTGCAAAGCCTTTCTACTGGCCGATGGTACGAGCCGGTCAGTTTTGAATAAGCCAGTGTGAGCCTGGATGCAGTGACGCAGACTCCAGCGTCCCAAGTCAAATGCTGTGCTGGTGATCTTCTATTTTC